TAGTAATATTTCTAAACAAACCAATTATAGATTTTTAAAGGATTTTCTTTTGCTTCTTGGATGATATTGTTTTTCTGTGAGTCTCTTTGTTCTTTTGTTCTCTGACTCTCCTTTTGGAGGCTATCTTTCAATGTGCTCTGCTCCTAGCTCTCTGTTCTTATTTGGCAACTGGAAGCTCTGTGCAGAGACTGCACCTGTCAACAGGTAGGCTTCACTGTAGGTCTTTTCTCTTGGACCAGTGTCAGTGTTCTACCTGGGAACTATAAACTTGATATTGTAAGAGTTGAGAAGAATTCCAAGCTTTCCTGGGCTGAGCCAGCTATCTGGACATATACCCACTGTTTCTGCCTGGAGACTGACACCTCCTCCCCGCCACACAGTGATAATTGACTGGAACAGGATTTTAGCGTTCTGCTCACCTGGGTGTCTCTGCTACCCCATAATCTGAACAATAACCTTGCTGATTGTTCTAAGACACCCATCTTCCTCAGTATTTACTGCCAGTAGGCATAGGACACTGCTACCTATTAGAGAAATACTCAAGTTAGTTCAAGCTCTGGTTTCCTTTGGTAAGCTTTCTATTTTTCAGAAGTAACCCAGATTTGGGATTCACCGAAGGTTGGCTTTCTTTTATTTTTTAAGAATGCATATGGATTTTTAAAAACATCTTTTCTCCTATTTCTAGAGATTTTTTTGTAGGAGGTGAGAACCAGACCCTTACCCTTTCCTTATTCTATTCAGTATGAATCTTGATTAACAACACTGAACTGAATGTTGTAATATTTTTAATTGAAATTCTTTTTAGAGTAATTGGGTTTTTGTCAATTTTCGTATCAATATATCTAGATTCTATTTTTTAAAATATTAACCTTCTATTTGTCATGTTTGTTGTGGATATTTTTCACAGTAATTCTGTTTTTATTTTAATTATCTTATTTTTCATGTTTATGAATATTTTCCTTGTTTAAATATATTTTGTAAATGTCTGATAAGTTCACAGGTTTTTTTAGTTTTTTGTAACAGATTTTAAATATCTTACTTATCTTGAAATTATTTTGTAATTTTCTTGTGAAACATGAATCAACTTCTCAAATTTCTAAATTGTTAGCTAGCTACCTCAATATTATTTAATATATTAATATTAATAAATATTGACATAATAGATATTATTTATTTTAATAAATATTTATTTTTAAAATAATATTTAAATTTGGTTTTTGTCTTGATGATAACTATTCAATTCATTTGTAAAATGTACAATATTTTTGTGTTTTCCACTCTATTATGCTTTTTCATTCATGCTTATATTCATTATATAGTAATCATTTCTATTTTAATAATTCATAGGCTGATCTGATTTCATTTTTTTCTCAATTATAGGCTGATTTTATTTTATTATTTCTTTTTCAATTATTATTTAATAGTTTTCTATTTGTCGATACAGTACACAACTATTCTGAGTTAGGTAATAAAAACTAAAGGATGAATAAAACTTGTTCCTCCTCTTCAAGGAATGCAGTCTTAGAGGGTCTGAGAAGTTCATAATGAGGAATTCAAAGATGACTCTTCAGAAGCTCAAGTTGGAAAAAGGAATAAGCTAAATAAAGAAAAGCTTAAGTTGGTTTCCTGATTTATAGGCAGAACTTCACTAGGGAAATGAATGGATGAGCAAAAATGAATCTATACATGCAAAAAAATGTAAAAAGGTGAGAAAACAGATGACTGGAACATAGGGTGTGGGAAGTAGCATATGAGTAGTTAATTTTGTAATCATTTAATAAAATTCAATATAAACCCCGCTACACTCTTGATCAGGATAGCATTAAATACATTAGTTATATCATAACAATTATCAAATTGAATCAAGTTCTTAAATAATGTCATTTGTTAAAGAGTGAGCTAGGTAAAAAATAATAAAATATAATCCATAAACTGGTTTTTTAACATATCAATAAAATTGAGCCGGGCTTGGTGGCTCAGTCTATAATCCCGCGCCTTGGGAGACTGAGGTGAATGGATTGCCCGAGCCCGCGGGTTCGAGACCCGCCTGAGCAACTTGGTGAGACCTTATCTCTACAATAAATCAAAAATCAGCCGGGCGTGGTAGTGCATGCCTGTAGTTCCAGCTACTTGGAAGGCTGAGGCGGAAGGATTGCCGGAGCCCGGCAGCTCTAGGCTGCGGTGGCCAGGAGCGGCCACTGCACTCCAGTCTGGGTGACAGAGTGGGACTCCAACTCAAAAAATTATAAATTAAAAAAATTAAAAAATTAAAAAAAATAAAATTGAGACTATAATAAATTCAAGATGTGTGTTGCTTTTCAAAGTTAAAACTCAGAACAAGAATACTACCCCTTTCAAGAGTAAGTAGTCAGCTTTAAGACAGGGAACCCCAAATAAATTGTCCTAATTGTATTGAAGTTATCTGTAATTTTCCACTAGTATGTAGTCCCTTACAGTGCTAGGGATCAGTTTCATCAGCTAGCAGAGCCCTGTGGAATGGGAGCCATTCTATACAGTCATAAGGAGGGAATGAAGCAAGCAAGGAAGGCAACAGGAGTCTACTAACTGCTCTGGAATGTTTAAGGTGAAATAAAAGAACTAGAATGTAGCTCTGGGAACAGTATGAGTTTTCAAGAAGAATTTTCGTTTATTAAGTTTTAACCTGATTGTGGACAAGCATTTTACAATGTATATTATATCAAAACATCACATTGCACACCTTAAACATACACAACTTTTATTTGCCAAATATATATCAGTAAAGCTGAGGGGGAAATTCTAACCATATTTAGAAGACAGAAGGGACGACTTTGGGTGAGATGAAGAGGTTGAATGCTTTAAAGAGGGGAGACACAAGTTAGAACATGAGTTATTTTTAAAAGTGTGAAACAGTTTGTCTAAGACACAACAGAGAAGAGGGAGCACTTCTTTTTAGAATTGCAATAAGGATAAAATCAGAAGACGTAAAGAAAAAGGTTTTGAGAGATAGATGCAGAGAGCCAGATAGCTTACACTAATGCTTTGATATTCTAAATAAGTATAATCTTACCAGTATCAGAATTAGTCAGGAATGCTGTATAAAAATTCAACCCCTGGATCACTCTCTTTAGAACCCAGGAAGCTGCGATTTTAGTGATTGTTCCAGGTTATTCTAACCATAATGTGAGAATCATGATCCAAGTGGAATAGCAGGTTATCTGCATGGTGTATCTACAAAATTGGGAAAGCATTGGTACTTTAGGAAGAGAGCAGAAGATATTAGTGGACAATGGAAGGAAGAAAATAATTGCTGACCAGAGCCTATTATGATGATGATATGAAGTTGAGAAACAGGAATTTGTATCAGAGAGGCTGTTCAAACTCCAGAATACAGTTAAATATGCTTCCAAGACTTCTTATAGGGTAAATTGATTCTATCTAAAAATGCTGTTACCACATCTCTATTTGTCAGGGCCCAGGAAAATTGCTAAAGCAGCCTGCTGGATCAAGGGCATTAAGAAAACTTCAGAGATTTCCCTTCATTCTGGGCTTGAAAAGCATACCTTTCTGGGCAAGGAGAGTGAATAATACTGATTGCTACATACAATCCTGTGGATTTATGTATTCAGAAGTTTAATTTCACATATTGATTATCAGCCGGCCAATATGTCAGGCCAGACTTCCCTCTCCTAGTCGTGGCTCAGTTCCATTCTTTGATGCTGCTGCTCCACCTGCACGTAAACTGAGACAGGCAGTTCCTTTTGTGTGAAAAAAATTAGAACTTGCAAGACTCTAAATTAGTTCATTTTTTTCTATCTTTCTTTTTTTGCTTGACTATATCAGTAGCCTCTTACCTGATCTCCAGGCTGCCTTCCTCTTCCATCCTAGATCATCCTCTGTACTACTAGAGTACCTTTCGTCACTGCTGTGAAGGTTCCCCATCAGCATAGAGTGACATTCAAACAAGTAAGAGAGACATAAAAGATTTTTCACAGCATGTCTTATCTTCAACCACTGCCCCCACCATTCCCACCTCCCACATCCCAGGGATACAGAATCCTCATCATTTCAGTACATTGTACACTCTTGCCTATGACCAAAATGTCCCTTCGAATTTAGTTGCTGTTCTTTCTGTTGTTTCCCTAAAGAAGTGTATTTAAATGTTATCCCCGTTTTGCAACTTTCTAAGACCCCTCTTTCAAGGTGGAATTATTTTTTAATCTGTATTTCATAGTACTTTATACAAATATCAACATTACATTTAGAACATGATTGTATACTCATTTATATTTTTGTTTCCACAAGTGAGCTTCTATTTCTAGAAACCACAAATTGAGCCACTAATCTTTCAATTGTTCAAAGCCTGACACATAGAATATGTACCATAAATTTTAGTTGAATACATTTGAACCAGATATTTTCTCTTTACATAACCCAAACTGAAAGAACGTAGGAAAGCAGAGTTTTTTGGAGCAAGCAATATGGGCAACTCTCGCATCATTTTATAATAGTAACACATTTTTCTTTTTTGGTAAAATATTATAACATTTTGATTCCGCATGCTTAGAGAATCATGGAATTTCGGTGGGAAGAGTTATCTTACAAGTGATTCCTTTGTTGCAGATGAAGAACCAGTCTTGTGCTTATGTCAGATCACACAAGTAGCTTGTATCAGAATCCTAATCAGCAACGTTTATGAATTCCTGAGTATTGAACCATTTTACATTTCAGGCAGATACATTCTGGAAGAGAACAAAATGTTTAATGCATTGTAGTTAAGAGAGTACCCCATTAAGGAACGTTAACCTGAATTTAAGGTGTTAGGGTCAGGGATAGCCAAGTGACTTGATGATAGATAATTGGCAAGTTCAAGGAGGATTTTGAATATAAGTAAAGTGTTTTTTAATGTGTTTTGCTGAGATAATTTGAACTATCAGGGCCATCAGAAGACAGAAGAGTGGGTTTGATGAATTTCTTTTTCTCTAGGTTTAATTGAGCCTGTTCTTCTCTTTAATAGGTTTCAGAACCTGCTGTGGTCTAGAAAGACATTTGTGGACAACATGAAAATCTATAACCACAGTTACATCTACATGCCTGCCTTTTCTATGAAGACAGGAACAGAGCCATCCCTGCGGGTTTATTATACACTGTCGGATGTTGGTGCCAATCAAACAGTGCTCTTTGCCAACCCCAACTTTCTTCGTAGTATTGGAAAGTTCTGGAAAAGTAGGGGAATCCATGCTAAGCGCCTGTCCACAGGACTTTTTCTGGTGAGCGCAGCTCTGGGCCTCTGTGAAGAGGTGGCTATCTATGGCTTCTGGCCCTTCTCTGTGAATATGCACGAGCAACCCATCAGCCACCACTACTATGACAACGTTTTACCCTTTTCTGGCTTCCATGCCATGCCCGAGGAATTTCTCCAACTCTGGTACCTTCATAAAATCGGTGCACTGAGAATGCAGCTAGACCCATGTGAGGATACCTCACTACAGCCCACTTCCTAGGGACAGCGGAGGAAGAAAGGACTGAGCCAGGGTATTTTTGTTAGGTTTTCTATGTGACTCCAAGAGGGAATGGTCAAATTGTTTCACGGATTTGCATAGGACACTTGGGAAAAAAGGAAAAGAATGATGAAAACCCAGGCAAAATTTTACTTTTAATGTTGGCCTGAAGGACAAATCAAGAAATGAAATGTCTTATGAAACATTTTATAGCACATGGTAGATTCACAGCTAGTAAAACACTGATGAAAAGCTGTTGGTAAAGCACATTTACATGGTTCAGATCTAGACGATGCAAATCAAAAACAAGGCAAAGTTTAGTTATCAAGGCTGAGGAACTAATCAAGGTAGAATATAGAAAATGCCGGGGTAAAAGTGCTGCTGATTGTCAACACAAACTGGCTTAATAATAATAATAAACCCATGTCTTATTAAGACTGGCTTTAGGACTGTAGGTTTTTAAAAAAATAATTATTTATTTTTGCCCTATTTAGGGGCAGTGGATGGATGAAGGGGTAGTTTTTTTAAAAATTCCCTTTCTGAGTAATAAGGATACAAAATGCTTCAGCTGTTTATCGTGATTTGTTGAGCCACATCTATATTAACTATAGTTCCCCCTTATTTTTTACATTGAATAAGAATTACTTCTTCCTTTTTTGTCAAGTCTACTTAGAAAATGTAAAACATTGTTGAATTTAGACTGTGTTGATTCATAGTCTGGATAACAGGAGCCACTTTCCCACCTCAGATTTTAGGGCATAACCCAATTTTAGGTCTGCATTATGTAAGCCTGTTTGCATTGTCATTATTATTTTGGTGCAAAAGACTACAAATGTGAGTGTATTATTTATTTGTAAATTGGCGTAATTGTCTTCATAATTTAACGTTCAGAAATGAAGTAAAGCACAATGATGAAAAGCTTAGTCTCTGCGGAAGACAGACCAGAAGGCAAATTCCTTTTCTATCTACTGTGGCATATTCACTCCAAAATAAAGCACATGTATGCTTACATGCAAACATACATATATACAAGTAGGTGCACACACAAAATGTTAAACAAAGCTCATTCCTGTGCAGCTATCAAACTTGAACTCACATAAACTGGTATGGCAAAAAATTTCTGTAACCAATGTTAGAGAGCCACAAATGTGTTCAGTATTTATTACGTTGTTGACATAAGACAAGCCAGTTGACTGGTTGTTGATTATAAGCCTCATACATATGAGCAGGAGATGCAAGTCTTACTCCCAAATGCTTACCCAGAATCAGCAGAATTGTTTTATTCATTCTGAGTTTCTTCAGAGTGTTGTGAATGGGCCCAATGTTGAGAATGGTCACACAAAGCATTGTCTGTACAAGTAAAGGGATGTGACTCATTGCCTATTCTTCAGTAGCAGGTAGAACTACTTAGGCAGTTTGTTTCATGAGCTTTGGCACATAGCAAGAAAACTCTTCTGACAGTTAGATTCCAAGCAGCCAAAGGTGTTTTTGTGTCAGAAAAAGGTGAAGGAAGTCTCTCATTGTCTTTGTGCTTTGGGATGTTTTAAGCTACAGAAAGATACTAGAATTCATTATTTTTATGCTTTTAAATGTCACCAGAATGGAAACAGATTGTGCCTATAAATTCTACTTCAATTTTAAACCGTAGAAACTTACTATAACGTATAAATTAAAATAGGTGACAATTTTTGATGAATTAACTTATATGATATCAAGATAGCAAAGCCCTTGGAAAAATTCTGTATCACTGGAGTCAGCAATCTCTAAATGCGGTTAAATATTGAGATTATTGTAGAAATTAGCAGTTAAAATATGACTGATTGACATAATGAAGATTATATCGATACTTAGAAAGTTAAGAATTTGGAGTATCAATTCTATGCAGAACTGATTTGCAAACATGTAATGAAAACGTATCATGAATGAGCTGCGTTAAATATTCACTTTATGTACAACCCTGAATATATTTCTCCTTTGAGTTATTCTTGCTATTTAGTAGTTACCTAAAAAGGAGTACATTTTTACCAGTATACCATTAAAAATGGAAAAGAATGAACAAAAACACATACAAACATTAATAAAACATGTCACTCAGATCAGTGCTTTAATTGTTAAAATTGTTAAAAAGTAATTAATTGGAGCTCCTTAAAACCCATACATCACAGTACCATTTAAAATACTACTGGAGATGTTTGCATTTTGTTACGATTCCTGGGAGAGATTTATACAGTTGATTTATAAATAATGTTTAGTCTACAAATTTGTCAAACTATTTCATGTGGCTTCTGAAGGGTAAAATGGGAATGATGAATGCTGATAATGCTTCATTAGACCTGTGCTTCTCATTCGGGGTATTCCTTATCCCCTCTCTAATGACATTTGGCAATGTCTGGAGACAGTTTTTTTTTTTTCCTTTTCATCACTCCAGGGTGCCACTAAACATGTAATGAATAGGGTTAGGGATCCTGCTAAGCATCCTACAATGCATAAGGCAACCTCTCACAACACATAATTATCTAGTCTAAAATGCTGAGAGTGGTGAGGTTGAGAAACTCTGGATTAGACTAAAATGAAACTTTGAGTGTTTCACATTGTCTTCACTTAGATATACAACACATACATGCTCATGCTATTCAAAGTGTGATTACAATTTAATGAGGTTGTTTTCTTGGGGAAGATTGTAATTTTACATTACTTAATAGTGACAATGCATAGGTATGCCGTACATACTATCCATGGTTGGATAGACAGACATATCTAAAGAAGTATGTGTGTGTGTGTGTGTGTGTGTGTGTGTGTGTGTGTGTGTGTGTGTGTGTGTGTGTATAGCATGACATTGTGCATCTCTTTCCTTACTGCTATATGTTCCTAAGTAAAAGTCTGTCTAGAGTGATCCTGTAGAGTACTTTGTAATACCCAATTGTTATTAGGAAGTTGAATTCTAAACACTTATTATTTTCTTTTGTTTATCTGAAATTAAGACCGTCAGAATTGGACCTGGTACTTTGCCAGATTTGATCGATTATATTTTAATATGACTGACCTTTAAGACTCAGCTCAGAAGACATTCCAGTTATGGTAGACACATTCAATAAGAAAATAGTTCTTTTCGATGCATTTGTCAAGTGAAGGTATTATTTTCTACCATTGTCTTTTGGTTACAAAAATTAGGTTGCTCTATGGAGGCAAAAGAAAGGATAGAGAGACTGATCCTCAGTAGGTCCTCTGAAAGAACCCTGTTAGGGCTTTTAATTTTTCTTAACCCCAATTGAGAACTATATTGCTTCTAAAGATCATGAAGAAAGATGACCTCTATTTTAATCACAGTTCAGTAAAATTTAGATATATCATTCTATGGATTAAGTCACTGCATAAGAAATAAATGTCTTATATGAAAGATTTTTATGTGTATACATATGATTGATTTATTTTGTCAATCATTTATACAAAACTGTGCATCTAAACTGTACAATTCTCACATAAAAATATAAGAAAGTGCTCGCTGGATTTTGTTTCTGTACAGTTCACTTTTGGTTGTTTTAACAAATGATCCAAAATGGCAGATGTTCAGGCAATAGTGTGTTTGGCTTTGTGATATCTCATGCCCTTCTCTTGGCTAAAAAATTGTTTAGACTTAATATAACTTTTAAATGAGGCAATCTGGACAAGGTGGCTTGAAATGTAAAATAACTGGAGAAATTCTGAGGTCTTAGATTTGCCAAAAATATTCTTAGATTAGTCAAAAGCTCTAGAGAAGTGTTATAGATGATCAAAAATGGACATAATATTGATAACATTTCTTCTTGTCAGCAGCTATGGTGGTTTTATAACTTCATTATATGCAACCTCCTTTTTTTTTGTCTGGGAAGTCAGCCATCTATAGTTGTAATTTCTGTGTTTGAAAATATTGACTTTGTGAAATGTTTAACTGGCAAATTCTTGCTAAAAGAGATCTAGGGGTAAAATCTCACCAGTCCATTGAAAACTAGGAACTGCTTTTTGTGTTATAGAGATACTTTCCCACCAGACTAGGTAATATGTGCTTTGGGTTTGTAGAATTCCAAAGATCAAAAGCTGTGAGGACTTTTGTGTAAACTGAGTACAAGTATGTGGAGTAATAAAGACTGAGCATGGAAGGCTGAGACAGAAGGATCTCTGGAGCCCAGCAGGTTGATGCAGGAGTGACCATGAGCTTGCCACTGCACTCCAGCCTGGGTGACAGAGTGAGACTCCAACTCAAAAAAAAAAAAAAAAAAAGGACTGAGCATAATAGTGTACTTTTTATTTTTTTATCTTCCCAGTGTGGAGGTTGACTCTCAAATTATATGACTTTTGGTGGGCACATATCAGGGGTGAAAGTGGGTTAACGATTTTAAGGTACCTGAAGTCTACTGAAGTCTAGGTTGAGGTCTTTAATAAGGTAATTATAACTAGCATTTTTGACACTTCCATTCCACTGTGTCTAGGGAAAGGGTGAGGCAAGTGGAAAGGAGGTGATGACCCTATCCCCAAGCTTTCAGCACACCAAGGGTCAGAGAGGTTTACCGTTGACCTTGGCCTTTTAGCACCACTGATCCCTGTCCTCTCCCAGGGGAACCGACTTGGCTCTAGGGTTGAGCTAGTAGCATTGTGACTAGAGAGGTGGTGTGGAAATTTGCTGAGAAACTCAAAATTTTACACTGCCTTCAACTGTTTTCTTTTGTTTTTGCTTAACTTGTACTCTCTAAATTTGGGTGTCCTGTGGCAGAGTCTAGTCACCCTGACCTAGTTATAGCCCGCCAGTGATTATGAAAAGTGGAGCTTCCCCCCCATGTGGATGACTTTTCTGAGTCTTTGAAGCTAGGAAAATACAAATATCTCACCAGTTCCTATTTAGCTTCTTTAAAAGCCCTGGCGACTAGCCCATAGGAATTCTGAAGCCCAGAGTGTCTGTTTATAAACTCCTAAATATGAGGCCACAATATTTAGGTTGAGCACCATAAAATGTCTATTTTGTAAGTGGAAGGAGACTTGAATCTATAATTGCTGTAGCTTTTTTTTCTTTCTATCATGAGAAAATGGATACCATCTGCTTCACCCTAAGCCTAGCCTTGTCTTGTGAATTTTTTACATACAATCCTAGAGGTGAGAGATTGAAACAAGTGCATGAATGGAACGCTTATGCAAACATAACCCAACCTCTGCTCAATGTCTGTATGAAAAGAGTATATATTTCTGTTTCCTTCTTCTAGCTTTCTTCTTCCTGATGCCAGCATTTTTTCTTTCTTTTACCACTAACACAAAAGGAATAAATATCATATTACAAATTTACTTATAATACTTGTGAGCATTTGCATAATAGCCAAAGTCCATGACTATAATTTTTAAAGCAAAGGAGGAATTACAAAAGAGGAATTATATTTTATGGCCATTCCTCTGTGCTCTTATTGATCTTTGTGCTAAAATATTTTCTGATTTTTTTTCTTATTAAAGCTGTGGAACATAATCAATAATGCAAAGCTGTTTGGAAACTTCATAGAATAATATCCAAATGTATTGATCCTGTCTCTTTTTGCATCTGTGTAATCAGAC